CTTCCATGGAAATGGAAGACACAACAGAATAATAATGGAAGAAGAAGAAGAAGAAGCTACAACAACGAAAATACAAGAAAAGTGAGGGAAATCGAAAATACAAATATGGTTCTCTTTTGAATCTCCTCCAGAAAATTAGATACATTAAGTTCAAAAAATTGGGCTAGCACAGCTGCTGGCCTATACAAATGGGAAAATAAAAATAAAGAGAAAATTGGAATGGGGTATTGGTGCTGAAGTAAGTCCACGTGGCAGTGCTCCTAGTCCATTAAGTAGTCCAAAATCTCTACAGGTGATTATGAAATTAATTAGGCTAATAAATCCAATTAAAGGCAATTCATAATTAATAGCCCAATAAAACTCAAAACAACAAAATATGGCAGGAGAAAATAATTGGGCATTAACAACATTTAATAGGAGCTCACAAAAGTAAGAAAATGCATGAAAAATATGGTTCATCAATATCCAACATACAAATCCACATCCAAAGCGAGGTTTCTCACCCTCCTCTTACCTCAATGAACGCTTGATGAAAGATGTAGGTCTCTGAGGTGTTCTCTTACAAGCTCTAGTTCTCCTTCTCATTTTTCAAAATGATAGAAAATAAGGATCTTAAAAATAAAAGAATTATTGTAATCTTTTTTTAAAAACTTAATCCACACTTAACCCTTTAGTAAAAATATTTTAACCATAGTTATCTTTTTCTTTCCCTCAAATATTAAAAATTATAAATAAATAATATATCAAATAAACATATTTCTTTCAACTCAAATAATTATAACAAAATAGAATAATTAATAATTAACAAAAATATAATATATAAAATAAATCTATTTCTTCCAATACAACTATAATTAAAATAAAATATATAAAAAAATCACAATAAAAACACATATTTTTCTTCAAATACTTATTATAACAAAATGTCATAAAAAATACATATTTCTCTAATAAATATAATACAAATAATTTTCATAGATATTCATTATTTAATTAAAATACTTGTAACTATTAAAAGCCTTTAAAATATTTTATAGAACCCATTTAATTAATTAAGACAATTATAAGAAAATAATCTTGATAAATATAAAAATAAATAATAATTAAACTATTATATTAATAAAAAATTTAGGGTGTTACACCACATCCACTCTGGTATATTTAAAGGTTGTAACTTTCTAAAAGGTTTCTAATGTTCTACCTTAGACTTTTGGCAAACTAAGCAACCATTATATTGGCCTTACTACGGTGATAGTTGAGCTCAAAGTCATAATTCTTAAGAAACTCTAACCATCTTTTGTCTCACGTTAAGCTTTTTTTGGTCAAACAGGTACTTAAGGCTTTTATGGTCATTAAACACCTCAAATCTTTAAGACAAAAACTACTGCAACTAACTTTAGGTCATGGGTAGAATAATTTTGTTCATGGGTTTTCAACTGCCTAGATGCATAAGCTACTACCTTCCCTTTCTGCAAAAGCACTCCTTCTAAACTCATCTTAGAGGCGTCACAATACACTACAAAAGTTTCACTAGGGTCAAGTAATACTGAAATAGGTGTTGAGTTAGACGGAGCAATCCTTAGCAGGGTTTTGAGTGAGACAAATATAATACATGTTGTTATTACTAACAAGTGTGTCAGCGTTTCAGAAAAATATAAGTACAGGCAAAATGAAGAACAGAGCATGAGCAACTTTCCACACCAAAACCAAGACAAAGGGTAAAGAACTATAAGGCATCAGATGAAGAGATCAAGCGAAGCCAAGCCCAGCACAAGAAGGAAAACAATGAAGCCTCAGACGATACAAGACCAAAGACAATGGATGAGGACAAGACAAAGAATATGGAAAAGCTTCTGAAGTCGACAAAGATCACAGAGGAAGACCTGTCAAACACACCAAAACAAAAGCAGGTTAAGCAAACGATTGAAGCTCAAGCCATGCAAGAAGGATTAGTTCTAATACCAAAGAATAAAACAATCACTAGTAAAAATGAATGTACCGAAGAAAATTGGATGAGTCAGGAAATATAACAAAGGATAAAGCAAGTGGTTCAGATAAAGTTTGAACAATCAGACGGAGATGAGTCAAAGCAAAGCACACCATGAGGATCAAACAAACCAAGTCATATGAATAGATAAAGTATGACATGTGAGCCAGACAACTATGAACCAAATGGCAGACGAGGATGTGTCAAGGACAACCTCAATTGCAATCTAATAAATTAGACGAAGAATTGGTCACAAAACAGAAGGAAGTCAACTATGCGTCGGACGAAGGACAACGCAGATTGAAAGGAACTCCAGATGGAAATGGAATCTGTCCACCTACAAGTTGATCAGACCTAGAGAAGAGTCAAAGCATCAAGTCAAAAGCTCGGACGAAGGTCAAGTTTTGAGATGCATAGGACTAACAGACAAAGACGAAAACTACCATGAAAGCATTTAAGGAATTATGTCTCCAAGGACAACTCAGACATCGTCTACGATCATAAAAGCTCTCAAAATGATTGCGCGAGTAAAAGTTGAAAAGAAGAAAGAGAAAATCAAGCGCAGCAGTAAAAACATGCATGTGTCAGAAAAAGTACATTACTTTTTCAGAGAAGGACAGTTCAACAACTAGGAGACTAGAAAAAGGACAAAAAGGTTCCTTGGTCTCTGCTAAATCAGACACTACTGCTAACAAGGCAAAGAAGACTTCACGCAATGTCTATGAACAGGAAGCAACACTTAATGCAAAATCTTTAGCATTAAATGAAAGACCAAACTAGTCATAAACTATTATATCAACTTCAACGAACATATGCAACGAGCAGATTCCATGAGCCTACAAATATACAATAACCTCAAACCTAAAGAGAGGGGAAAGAAGTAACGAAAGAATGACTATAGGCATTGCCCTGGGCTTTGAGCACTAAGCACCAAAAGTAATATCAAGCCCAAAAGAAAAACAGAGAAATCAGAGATCGATTCTTCATAGTCAAATCTACAATGTATCATTGTATTTATCTCTGTAGTCTAAGGTGTTCCAAGTGTATCTTAGGAAGGAGACCTTAGTGAGTGTTGTAATCTTATGTATCTTCTTTGTAAAGAGTAACCCACACACTCAGAATCTCTATAGGACTAAGGTAGTGAAACCTTAGAGAGTGTAAATCATATATGTATCCTCTCTGTAAGAGTAACCCAAACACTCAAACCTGATTATACGTCTATCATCTGTAAATCCTGAAGAGGCTAGGGAAAGAATACTTGTAAAGCCTAGAGGGGCTTGTCAAAGAATACTTGTAAAGCCCAGAGGGGCTTGTCAAAGAATACTTGTAAAGCCCAGAGGGGCTTGTCAAAAAATACTCACTGCTAGCCAGAAGTGGCTGAGAAGAATATACTAGCGCTGGTGAGTGAAGTTGGTGGGCCAGGAGTGGTCAAGAATACTTGGAGAACCAGAAGTGATTTAAGAATACTAGCGCTGGTGAGTGAAGCTGGCGGGCCAGGAATGGTCGAGAATACTTGGAGAACCAGAAATGATTTAAGAATACTAGCATTGGTGAGTGAAGCTGGCAGGCTAGGAGTGGTCGAGAATACTTAGAGAACCAGAAGTGGTTTAAGAATACTAACGCTGGTGAGTGAAGATGGCGGGCCAGGAGTGGTCGAGAATACTTGGAGAGCCATAAGTGGTTTAAAAATACTAGCGTTAGTGAGTGAAGCCAACGGGCCAGGAGTGGTCAAGAATACTCAGGTCCAGGAGTGGACGATAATACTCAATGTTCTTCATTTTCATATCTAGTGGAACCCTTTAGCTGAAGGAGACTGAACGTAGCTCAATTGAGCGAACCAGTATAAAAGTACTTGCACTACTTTATTTATATTTCAAATGAAAATCTTTCTTAATTGTTAAATCATACTGAAAACTTCGTCCACCATTTATTCATCATCAAAATCATCTCTTAGACGAAGACGCAAACTTCTCTTAGCTTACTTATTACACTGAAAGTTTCGTCTACTGCTTGTTTTCAATACGACAATCTTTAGACAGAAAATGCAAGATTTAAATTATTATTATAAGAAACATTTTCCATGAAGCAGACGATAAAACTCTCAGATGGAAAACCTTGAGCTGAGAAAATCTTACATAATCGTCAAATGTTTTAAAACCATATTTTATCAAACGAATCAAATCATCTTTGTGAAAAAGGTTTTAGATTTCCTTAAATTACACAGACACATATTCAACCCCCCTTTCTGTGTGTTTCTCATCTAACTTCAATAGGCACGTTGGTTAATCTCCTCTTAAGCTCTTGAAAACTCTCCTCACACGTAAAATCCCACACAAAAGATTGGTTTTTCTTAGTCAACTTGGTCAAAGGCAATGCTAACTTTGAAAAAACCTTTATAAACCTTGATCGAAGCCATATCCGGTCAAATAAAAACATGTAAATGCAGTACTAGGAAGCTTTCCTAGGTCGTCTCCCAAGGACCATTCGTCTCTGTCAAAGGTTCAAACACGTAGTGGGTGGGGTTTTGGACAGGTTTGAGCAAAGTTAATAATGCAAATTAAATGCAAATTAGGATTGACTCCTTGTTAAGATTGTAACTCTCTTATCTATGGTTCACTACAGATATCTCTGTCAACAACTTAATCCTTGGTCCATCCGAGTTAACCAACTAAGCGAAGATTAACTCAAGACTTCCCTACACGAATTAAGCAAACATATACAACATTAAACCTCTCCACCAGATTAAGAAAACTGTGACATTAAAGGAAACCCATTAAGAATGAACGCATTAATACATAGATTTAATGAAAAAGAACCAAGCAGAACAGAGATACACAATATGAACACAACCTCAAACAGAGATTACAATCTGCAACAAGGAGCCAACCCCAAGGGTTTTAGCCTTCCATCAAAATGAAAATGCAGCAGAACATAGTCAGCATGGAAGAAGAAGAAGAAACTAACAATCTATATTCATTCAAATGTAAAACCCAGTCTCAAATACAAGCAGAAAATCACAACGTGAAAGAAGAAGCAAAACAGAGAGGAAAAATATAAAGGAAAAAGAAGAATAGAAAACTAAAATGTGGTCACGTCATTGAAGAGTAGTGGCTGCATGGTCAGCCTAGCCTAGGACCCTAAAACCCTAGAAAAGTCAAATGGCCCCCAATCCAACTCTGACCCGAAAATATAATATAATAAACAAAAAATAAAACAAAATGCTAATGTGGCGCTGATGTGGTGAAGTGGTGCTGACGTGGCACCTTGTCTCTTGAAGTCCAAAATATCTGAGCCCAAAAATGCTTCATGATTAACCTGAAAATAATTAATGAACAAAAATTAGACCAAGTGAATTGAAATTAATTAAATTTCAAATTACTGGCCCAATGAAGCCCAAATAGTAAAATTGTGCAATTAATAAGCATTTAAATCCAAATCAACAATTAAAATAAGTACAAAAAGATAAATAAATAAGGAAAATAATGACTCATCAAACTTCCTATAATACCCAACTAAACCTAGTAAGCTCTTAATCTCAAAAAATGATTTAGGTGTTTTTCACTCAAGTATCACTTCATCCTTAGAAGGGTCTAGAGCTATACCTCCCTTAGAAATCACATGTCTTAAGAAGCTCACACTATCTAGCCAGAACTCACACATAGACAACTTAGCATAAAGCCTCTTATCCTTAAGGATTTGAAACACTATCCTAATATTCTCGATATACTTTTCCCTAATCTTAGAATATAAAAGGATGTCATGTATGAAGACTACTACAAACCTATCAAGGTATGGGTTAACGATCCTATTCATGTAATCCATGAATACTCCAGGTGTATTAGTGAAACCAAATACTCATAGTTCCCATAACAAGACCTAGAAGCAGTCTTTAGAATATCCTCAAACTTCACCTGAATCTAGTGGTAACCTGATCTTAAATATATCTTGCTAAATACACAAGCCCTAACTAGTTGGTCCATAAGGTCATCTATCCAAGGGAAAAGATATCTATTCTTAATGGTAACCTTATTAAATTGACGGTAGTCTACATATAATCTCATGATCCCATCCATTTTCTTCACTAGCAACACATGCGTTCCCCAAGGTGACAAACTCGGCATAATGAATTATTTTTTTTGAAGCTCCTCTATTTGTTTCTTAAGCTCAACTAATTCCTTAGGGGACATCATATAAGGTGCTACTAATATGGGTGCAGTACCAGGTACTAAATCTATGGAAAATTTAGTTTCTCTCTTCAATGGTAAGTTAGACATGTCCTTAGGGAAAACCTCAAGAAATTCACTCACTAAGGGGATCTCACTAAACTCATTGTCTTTCTCAAGATTCAAAGAGGAAAGAATCATGTATACCTTATCATTTTCTTTTAAACATGTTTTTATCTTATTAGCACTTAAAAACTTCACTCTCACTTTCACCAAAGGATATGGATTTTTCAAATCAGTTTAAAAGGAAATGATTGGAAGATAACCAATCCATTCCAAGAATGATATCTAGTTGATGATGGACCATCCTTGAAGCATCATATAGGGCCTATCACAGGGTCTATGGCAAGGAGAGCGGAGGAAGATGGAGAGCACACCATGCCTAAAGCTATGATCATCATGTGTGTGGATTTTGAACCTCTCCTTAAGCCTATCTAGTTATTTGTTTTCTCTTCTATTTTTTCCCTTGCATTTTGGGGCACAGTAGATATTAGGTTTTTATTTTTAAATTTTATTTAGCCTTTGTATTACGGGAAAAATTAGTCTTAGGACTTATTTTTGGGACTTAAACCTTGACTTGTAAGATCAAAGTCAACTTTTTTCTTTTCTACACCTAGGGGTACTTTAGCCTTTTAGGAGAGACGAGAGTCCATTTCATTTGGGCTACATTTTGGGCTCATCTAAGGTGCATTTAGGCTTGAAATTTTGGCCAAATTCTTTCCATGAAACCCTAGTTTTTTTCCTCTTGCTATAAGTACTCTAGGCCATCCACCTTGTAGCCACTTTGGAAATTAATGATATTAAGTGAGCTTTGTGCCTCAACATCTTTTCCTTAGTCTCTTAGGGAATTTCCATGGCCCTCTTCCTCTCCTCTCTATCTTGGAATGAGCTTGGGTCTCCCTTGTGTTGAGATTCATGGATGGTGAATCAAGTTCTGAAGTGTTTTGATGATAACAAAGGTCATGAATGAACAAAGGAGAAGACATGAAGACCATGAATGAATATCAAATGTAATAGGAGTAGTTTATGTGTTTTTATGTGTTTTGTTGCTTTCTTAGTCAATTTTATGTTCTATGCATGTTTATGAGTGTTTATGTTTTGCGCATGAGTCAAGTCTTAATTCTAACTGTCAAAGAATAAGTATGATGATGATTGAGAACTAACTCAAAATAATCGATTATTGCTAACTATAATCGATTATTTCGGCTCTGTTTTTCAATAGTTAAGAAACCTTGTTGTAATAATCGATTATCTGTGAAATAATCAATTATCCCAAAATGTGCTATCTGGAATAATCGATTATCCTATAAAATAATCGATTATTCTATTCTTGAATGATTTCTAGAAATCATAAAGAATAAAATAATTGATTATCCTTAAAAATAATCGATTATCTGAGTCTAAAAACTTTATAAAAAGGGTTTTCTCATTTAGAAACATAATAACAAGAGAAGCAAGTGATATTGTGAAAACTTTGTGATATACTTTTGATCTTTGTGATCTTCTTGGAGATTTTTCTTTATGAAATCAAGAAGTAAAACACTTTGTGAAATGTTTTGAGAAAATTCATCATCACCATTATATTCTTGTACAGAGGAACTAAGATTGGTCAAGAATTCACAATCTGATCTATTCAGTTTTAAAGTGAATTCATTCCTTAAATCTTTTTGTGTATTGTGGTAAAAATCTTGTGTAGGTTTCTCAGGTGGTAAGGAGTTCTTGTAGTGGGTTTCTATAAGAAGTACTTTCTTGGGTGCAAGAAACGGTCTATCTTAAGGGGCTATCTTGTGTGTAGAAGTGTGTGCATGTATGATATGCTTGTAAAACTTCTTCATTAAGATAGTGAAACAAATCTTGATCAGGTTATGATTGAGGACTGGATGTAGGTCACGTGTGGAGTGGCTGAACTAGGATAAATCACTTTGCATTCTTTTTTTACCCTTATCTTTTATTTTAAGCAATCTTTAGTTGAATTTTAAAATGATGCTTATGATTTATATTCTTATATGATTAAAGTGGACTGATCTGAAATGTAATCACTGCATATTAACTTGATTTTAAACTGATTCAATAAAGATTGTTAAGCAAATCATAAAAAAGTCATTCCCATATACTAAGAGGGTCAATATACTTCATTGGAAATTGACTTTAGAAAAGTTTTAAAGAAATTAAGATCCTTAAACTTTGATAAATTTTTTTATGTTTCAATAAATATAATTCACCCCCCCCCTCTTGGATTGTGCCATTATTTTCTAACACCTTGGTTGGCCTTCATCAAGCTAAGTGAAGTGAGCCAGCCTAAACACCAAACACCTTCCCTTTCCTTCCATCCATTTTGTGCAACCTTGCATCACTTTTCTACCCTTGGAAAGATCATTATCATCCTCATCTCAACCTTGGAAATGAGAAGGAACCATCCATTAGCTTTCATAGAGAAGTTGGTTCCATCACTATTTGTCTAAAAGGCAAACAGATAAGGTCAACCAAAAATTGCTTTCAAAAAATAACAATATGATGACACTTAAGACAAATACTATAAGTAGTTATAAAACCATCAGTGGGAGTCTCCACAACCAAATCATAGCTCAAGCAAGACACGTGTAATTTTATATTATAGACATATACAAGATAAATAAATGAATGGGTTGCACAAGAATCAAACAATACAACAAAAGGATTCTCAACTATGAAACAAATACCTTGTATTAGACTCTAGAATTGAGTAGCTTCAGCACCACTAATAGCAAATACTTTTCTAGTAGTCTTTGGATGCCCAGATTGAGAACTAGATCTCTTTCCAATTATACGTGGCCTTAGTGGCTACAGACATTAAGTACTAATATGACCCTTACCATTGCAGTTGAAACACGTGATCTCCTTGTCAAGACAGTTATAGTGTTCATGCCCACATTGCTAACACTTTTTGCATCTACCAATAGGTGTAAAAACAAAGCCTCTACACTAGCAACACCATTCACAAAAGGGCTTATAGCAATAGACTTACTTCGACTGCCTCTAACATGATTCCCTTGAAACTTGACAAGAGTAGAGTAACGTTTACTCTTACTTTGACCACCAAATCTCCCATCACGAATAAAACCACCCCCTTGTACAAAGTAGCACATGCACGGTTGTCATAGTTATAGATCCTACACTTAATGACGAGCATTAAATAGTGATAGATCTCCTAATAGTTGATCACCATCTTAACCTCAAGACAAAAGTCATTCACAAATTTAATGCACTTAGCCCTTTCACCACCCTCACCATGGTAGTGAAAGAAATAATGGACAAGCACATCAAACTTGGCAGGACACTCAACAATAATACCATCTCCCTACATCAATTCATGGAATTCCACCTAATCAAGAGAATACTTTTCAAGGAAGAAAACCCTCTTGTAGTTATCCCAATTAACCAGTTTTACTTCAACCATCATCCTTTATAAAGCTCCTTTCCACAAAAAGTAAGCGTTAGACGTCAACATGAAGGTAACAAGATTCACTTTTTGAGTTGCAGGACACTCCATAGCCTTAAAGATCTTCTAAATATCGGTTAACCAGATCATCACGCCTTTTGGGTCATATCCTTCCTTGAAAAAGGGTGGATGGTTACGCTAAAATCGCTCCAACCAACTAGGAGTATCTCTAGCCCTATCCATCTTTATAGCTTTTGCTAACACTTGAAAGGCGTTAGCAATAGCGTAGTCATTCCTACCAACTTAATTCTGATACATATCAACAAAAAATTTACTATCACATCAAGCATAACAAATATGCTATCAGAGAACACAGAAAAGCATAGAGACACACAACACACATGTCTGGTTTAAATCAATCAAGTTTTGATACCACTAAATGTGACGCCCACTACCCCATATTCCATAACATATATTATAATATAAATACCTGAAATATATATAAAAAATAATCATAAACTCAAAATCCATGCAGGAAGAAAGAATCACATTTGACATAACTAGACTTGTGGAAATAACAAATTACAAAGGAAATAAAAGTAAACTACTCAAATTAAATAACCTAATTCAAATACTAGCTAGTCCCAACTAATCCCCGATGACACGTTTCCTACCATATCAAAATCCAGTATTGAGGACTAAGCCTCATCACCGACATCCTCAGCACCATGTTGATGATTACCTGCAAAAACCACAACAAAAAAACACAAAATAGAAAAGGAATGAGAAACATCTACTCTAGCTCATGATGTAGGAATGTAAGTCGACTAGCCAAATACAAACAACCAACGTAATCATAATATAACATACACAATTGCACATCATCATCATCATACATAGCCCATCCATAACATAGTAAATAACAACAAATATAATTATAATACATATGCAATGGACACAAATTATATTCATGTATGTGGCACCAATAAAAATATCACATTTGTACATTGCCACTAGCAACACACTAGAGTAGTCTACAAGAGTCAGCCCACGTCCAACGAAAGCGTCATAGGGAATCTCTTGGAGCTTCCACACTCAGTGAAGGTCATTCCATGCCCAATGTGAGAGAACCTAAGAGCAAACTTTTCTATCTGCCTCAATGGCACTTGACACGCCCTAAGTGGTGCTCGACGACATATCAAAAACAACACACACATCAGAAAACACATAATTACAAGACACACAAATTCACCAAAATACATGATTCAATCGATAGAAGCTTTCCAAACCACCTAATAAACATTCTAAACAACATAATTTATGCATACAATTACAAACTAAAACAATTGCTTCATACACAACCACCAATGCATTCCTTTAGGATTCCCATAGGAATCCACAAGAACATCAAAACATACATTTTACAACCCATTTTCAAAATTACTAACACATACATACAATTCACATCAATTAGAACATACAAGGAAAACAAAAAGTAAAACAGATACAATTGGGAAAAACTCCTTATACATGAGCATACAACAAACACAGGATTGGGGATCAATCTCACTACCCGACTCACACATAGAGCGAGGTTTGTCACTCTCCCTTACCTACATACGCTATAGATAAAGGGTGCATGCCTCTGTGGTGATTTCCTTCTTGCTCTTGTTCTCCAAGCTCTGAAGCCCGTACATGAAAATAAAGACGTAAGAGGGTTTGATCAAAAAACTATTCTTTTAAAAACTTTAACCTTCCTTTAACCCTCCTTTAGTTAAAATACTTAACCATAGTTACAAATTCTCTTCTCTTTTACTAAATATTATAATAACCTTTAATAAAAACACTATATATTATATTCTAAAATACATTAAATAATTAAAAAATTATTTAACAATCCCCATTAATAAAATAAAAATATCAAAAATATAAATAAAATACTTATATTATATTTAATGAAAACAATGTGGTGTTAGAACTCTCCCCTCCTTTTAGAAATTCCATCCCTAAAATTACCTAAAGCAAATAAAAATGGATATGTTTCTTGCATCTGACTTTCTAATTCCCACGTAGCCCTTTCTTCAACATTTCCTCCCCAAACAACCTTGACTAAATGAGTTTCCATACCTCTCAACTATTTCACCCTCTTATCCTCAATCCTTAAAGAAACAATTTCATAAGTGATGTTATCCTTTAACTTAATGTTGTTAGACTCAAAATTATGGGACAAGTCATGAATATATTTTCAAGTTGGGCAACATAAAAGACATCATGCAAATTAAAAACTAACAAAGGCAAAGCAGTTTGGTAAGCAACATTATCTATCTTCTTAAGGATTTGGTGAAGACCGATGAATCGTGGAGTAAGCTTACGAGATTTTAGTGCTCTACCAACTCCAATCCAAGGAGTTGCCTTAAGGAATAATTGGTCTCCCTCTTTTGACTCAAGGTTTTTCTTTCTCTTATCAGGGCAAATTTGATGCCTACTTTAGGATGTTCTCATTCTATCCTAAATTAATTTCACCTTCTCAGTAGTTTGCTAAACTATCAACGTGCAATATCTAGGATGAATCTGCATGTTGTAACCTTTCTCTGATAGGTGTCCCATGCTCAACAAATTGTGATGAATAGCATGAACATAGAAAATGTCAAAGATAAAATTTTGTGAATCATCTTTCAATCTAATAGAAATTTGGTTGGTCCCCAAAATAGGAATATTTGTGTTGTTTCCAAATTTTACGGTAGCTTCTACTATTTTTATCTAAAGATAGAAATAACTCATTTTTCCCACACATGTGATTTATGCATTAAATATCTAGATATCAAATATTTTCATCCTCGAAAAATATATTGCTCGCCAAAAATAAACTTTGTGGGTTGTATGAATTCTCCCCAATATTTTGATGAGTTTCAAAATATTCAAAAAAAAATTGCTAGTTTTGGAATTTGCAATTTTGTCAAAAAATATAATAATCTACTCCTTGGTGAATTTGTGATAACACCAACTGGTTTCTCCTCCTAGTAATATCATAAACTTCTTTTGCTAATTTCAATTCAACAAAGTTTCAAATATTGTGAGCTCTTAAATATGTGACCATCAAAATTTCCCAATAATTAAAATCTAATTTCTCATCTAACTTGATATCAGACCAAATAATATTATAACCAGTAATCATATCTATCTCAAAGATATAATAACTCTCTCTCTATATATATATATAAGGGACGAAGAATCTTTCTTCTATAATTCAATATCTTGATTCACTTTGATTTTACTAAAAATATGATACTTAACTATGGTGCAGCACGTTGCCATTTATAGGTGATACAAACTATTAAAATAATAGAACTTAGTGGCTAACAATGCTACATATCAGTGTTTTAAAACCCGACCGACCCGGCTGGTCAGACCAGTTGGACCGGGAACCGGTGGTCCAGCCGGTTTGAATATGAAGTTGGATCGGTTATGCAGTCGACCCGTTTTAAACCGGATTGAACCGGTCAATTTTCCGGTTCAACCGGTGAACCGGTGGGTCAAACCGGTTCAACCACTTTTTTTCTTATTTTTTTTAAAATTTTTTTAAGGAACCATAAATCACAAAAATAATAATGAAAATTGAATCTCTTAATGAAAAAACAAGGAGTCTTATTAAATATAACAATGACTACTTGTTCTAATATATTTGTTTGCAAAATATACAACTTAAATAAATTTTATAGTATATTATTAATTTTAAATTATATATTTAATAATGCAATATCTATGTAAATATTACATATATTATTTTGTGATATTAATTGCAAGCATATTATATATGTACATATTATTTATATTTTTAATTTGTATTAATATACCGTTTAACATGTAATTTTTTTATGTATTTTTTTACAAAATAAAAATAAAAATAATTTTAAATAAGATAGAAAAATTGAAATTTAAAATAAGATATGAATTTATTAAAATTTATAAGTATAAAATATATTTAATATAAATATTTTTTAATAAAAATCGAGTCATGCGGTTCAACTAGTGACCCACCGGTTCAACCTTTGACCCACTGACCCAGTACCTTAACCGGTTCGATGACCGGTCCGGTTTTTAAAACTACGCTACATATCTTAATAGGTAAGTTAGCAAATTACGTGCAATATTTTTTTTACTATTTTTTAATGCTTAATTGCTAAGTAAATCTAGCGGTGCCGCTTGATTTAATATTTTCTGACAATATTTATTAATTATAAATTATAATTATATAAAAACTGTTTTATATTATATTATGCACACACTAAAATGTTAATTATGACAAAAAGTTATAATTAAAATTATAACCCAATTTTGAGGCATCAAACAATTCTTAACTAAACTAAAACTTGTTTGCATATGCATTTCACAAGATAAATATCATTTTATTCTAAAATAAATATTATTTTTATATAATTAAAATTCACAATAAAAATATTTCAAATATATAATTTATATTCAAATTTTAATATAAATTTATTTTTAATTATAATTTTTCAAAATTAAATTCAATTTCAAGATAAAATTAAGATATGGTAAATTAAAAGAGATAAGTGCTTAAAAAAGTTTGTTCTTTTACAAATCAGTTGTAGTTTACACAATTACATATTTAGAACTTAAGAATTATTGTTCGAAATAAGGGTTACGAGTTCAAATTTGAATTTTTAAATGGATCTAACATAATTGGTTTGCAAATTGTTACAAATCTCGTAATTGGTACCGGAATCGATTATGATGTATAGAAAATTTATATATCTAAAACTTAAATTCAAGATCAATAACTCACTCATGCACTTGGTGAATCAACATAATAGTAACTAATTTATCTTTATTTTTTTCTATGAATATTTTGATACGTTAATAAATGAAAGAATATGACCGAAGAAGTTAGTAAATAAAAAAAGTAATATAATATTAATGTGGAGAAATTCACGCATTCCAACGGAGATGTTTGGTAAGGAAGAAGTTTTAGTTTTCAGAGAATCTTACATGCAAAATGTATGTTTGGTATCTATTAAAAAAAAATCCTGAAAGATATTGTTTCTCAAAAATATTTTTATCCCAATTTTACACAAATATATTTCCATTTCCATGAGAAGGGTTGAGAATCTAAGTTTACCGGCTAAAAAGGAATATTTTAATTATTCAAAAATCATAATATCACTTTTTAAAATAAAAAATATATACTTGATATTCATCTTTTTTATCTAACTTTCTTCTTCCTTCTATTTCTTTTTCTCCCACTATTTCTCTCTCACACACACTCTCCCTCTCTCTTGCTCTCTCTCTTTCTCTCCCTCCCCCCTCTCTCTCTCCTTCTCCCCCATTTCTCTCTCTCCTTTCTATATCTTTATTTCTCTCTCTATTGTATCACATTATTTTTTAACCTTATAATTTTAATAATATTATTAAAGTCTATTTTATTTTTATAGTTTAATTGTATTTGTCAACACTTTTATTTATTTTTAATTTTTTGAATGAAATGTAAATATATTTTTATTCTTCTTAATTATAAGGTAGCACCTTTATTTCTTTACTTCGTTTGTTGAATTTTGTGTTTAAATACTTTTTACTATCATTTTTTAACTTTTTAAAAAAGTTTAGTGTCATATTTCTAATAAGATTTGAGTAAATAAAAATATATAATGAGGTTATTTTAATAAAGAATATTTTGTAAAAAATATTTATATACCTAGGAATATGTTATTGTAACCAAACTTAAAAAATTTAAATTCTTAGGAATCTTATATGAATATTTCTAGGAACTTTTATGAGTAACTAAATAGATTTTACCTATTCCTAAGAAACATGATTCTTAAGATTCCTGATTCCTAAGTATGAAAGAACTTTTCTCCAACAAAATGTCCCTTAAGAGTAAGTTTACTTTAACTTACTCCACTCAATAACTCATTTTCTATATCAAATTTCAACAATGCAATTGTAGAATCAAAAGTTCTTAATTTACGGATCAAGTCTACAAATTTTTTTAAGAAATTAAAAATTAATTCATATGGTTTTTCATTCATTTCAAATCAACATATAAAATGCTTTTATGATTATCCATCATTTTGAATTAATGAAACAAGGCATCAAATAGTTTTCAGTTTTCAAAAATTTGCAAACTTGATCTATTGATTAAGAACTTTTAATTTAATGGTTGAATTGTTAAAAAATTTAATGTAAAACATGAGTTATTGAGTGAAGTAAGTTTAAGTAGACGTACTCTTATAGCACCTCCAATGGGAGGTGCTTCCTGTGTTGCTTAAGAATAAGCAATAGAGCTTATAGAAAACTCCATTTGGAGTGGTCTTACGTGGCAAGTCAGGTGCTTAAATTTTTTTCTCAATTGCTTGTACAAGGAACGGTGCTTAGCACTGAAAAATTTGAAGAAGAGAAGTTTGATTTGTTGAATCTAGTCCACGTGGAATATGGACACAAACTTGGAAAATAAAAAAAAAATAGGAAAAACATTCTTCACCTCTTCTTCCTCCGTCCGGGGAGGGATGTCTTCGCCGGCCTCCGCATGACCAGAACGGTCGGCCCGCATGACCGTCTGCTCTACGCGCAGCTCCACACAACCAGACCTGCCGGCCCACGCGAACCGCCCGATCAAACCCCTCCGCCCAGCGCACCAAGACACCCAGCCTGCACGCGACCCCTCCGCGCGGCCGTTCCCTCTGTGCGCTCCGCACCCAGACTCCTGCGCACAACCAAAACCACCGTGAAGAGAGAGTGAAGAAAAAGACAGAAGAGAAAGAAAGGGTGAAAAGTGAGTGAAATGAAAGAAAACGTGAGGGAGAGATGTGATTTTTTATATTTTTTATGTATTATGTAATTTTTTATATATTTTTTATATTATGTAATTTTTTTTATTATTGTAATTTTTGGTATTTTTTTTATTATTTAATTTTTGGTATTTTTTTATTATAATTTTTTGTATTTTTTATTATGTAATTTTTTTATTATTGAAATTTTTTATTATTATAATTTTTGATTTGTTAGTTATTCATATTTATATATTATTTATAATAATTAATTTTATAAAAATTTATTATAAAGTGTAGTGTGAGGTGTCAAAAAAGTGTAGTATGAGTTGTAAAAAAGTAAGAGTGCTTATAAGCAATTTCTATTGGAACAAAAATTGTAAAAATATAATATGAGTTGCTTATGAGTGACATGGCACAGAGGGACCCATTTAAAGTGGGCGGGAGTTGCTTATAAGCAACTCCCATTGTAGATGCTCTTAGAGTAAGTTGATCCCTCCTTAATGTTAATTGTAATGAATACCAACATTTATTTTTTTCAAACACATTTTTCAATGTATCTTATTTTATCTCGTTAAAGTCGTCATTCATTAATTTATAAAACTTTACATTTACAATAGTTTTAAAAATTTTGAAGGAAAACGTAACCCATTTATGATAGTATTATAAAAATGGAGAAAGGCATAAAAAGTTAAATCATATTTAAATTGGGCTAAGATACGAGGATCGAGAAAAGCAAACCAAAACAAACCAACAATTGACCTCATTCTCCACTCCTCCTTCGTCAACAATATCTTGTAGATTAGTGAATCATTTGGTTTGTGTAGAGACATTAGAATCAACGAACATGGCTAATATCTCATTTGCCTCATCATTTATGAATTGTTCTTCTTTGTTGAGTGATATAAACAATTTACCAGATGATATATTGGTAGAAATATTCTTTCGAATGTCATATAAATCCACTGTGAAATGCAAGTGTGTGTGCAAGCGTTGGTTGAAATTGATTTCAATCCCTTATTTTCTGAAACAATTTGTGTCTCGCCAACACTCTCTTTCCAACGCCATCTTCACCTTCATTTCACCTTGCCAGCTCATGCTCACTTTCCCACCTCCAGATTTAGACTCCAATCCTCAAGCCCACAAGGCTCCTTTTTCACCAGATCAAATGCTCATAAAAGGGAACGTGTGTGGCTATTCCAACGGCTTGTTTTTGTACTACAACAACAGATCCACATCAGGTAGGGGCTACTTTGTGTATGATCCACTCACCAAGGTATGCACCCACATAGCTCCCTTTCGAAATTTCTCAGCTCCGCGCCCGGCACACTCATGGTCGCGCCTAGCGTGGTACAACCAGAGAGCACCAGGGGCTAGCGCGCCCAGCGCAGGTATGCCTGCACCTGGCGGGGCTCAGCCAGAGAGCCCAAGGCTCACACGTGCCCAGCGCATGCCAGGCAGAGACTCCAAGGAGTCTCGCGCGCCCGGCGTACCCATACCCGCGCCCAGCGCGGGGAAGGCAGAGACCTCCCCTTGGTCTCGCGCCCAGCGCAATTCAAATTGCGCCCAGCGCCCACAAGGCAGAGACTCCCAAGGAGTCTCACGCCCAGCGCGACAAGGG